GGTGCTCATTAACAAAATGGACGACCCGACGGTGAACTGGTCTGAACAGAGGTAGAATGCCACTAACGTATCAATGTTGAGGCCATATGATGGCCGTTTAGGTATAACGAGTGCCGAGACAAAATTATTCCTGTCCTAAAAAAAGTCGGATTTCTGCCCGGCAAGGATCTATTTTTCATGCCTTGCAGTGGAATAACTGGCGCATTTCTGAAAGAGCCGATTCCCGAGTCAATCTGTCCGTGGTATAGGTATGTTTTTGCTCTGTAGTTGTAAAACCTGCGCCGTGAGTGTGATCATTTTCAGAGGTCCCTGTTTTATTGAGCACTTGGATAGCTTGCCGTCAATCAGCAGAGCCAAAGAAGGGCCTGTCAGGGTGGTGCTGATCGATAAATATAATGTGAAAATTGCAAAATTTCGCTGTTGCCTTGCTTTATTCTATTGTTTTGTAGGATATGGGTGTAGTTGTGATGGGCAAGGTTGAATCAGGCATCGTAACTAAGGGCCAAAATTTGATGCTCATGCCCAATAAGGTAATTATATGATTGGAGATTGTGTAGCCTTTGCGTTGAATTTTTCCATTGATAGACTTTGGTCCAGGCCCTTCAGTTGTGGTCTGACGACGACGAAACCGAACAGGTTTCGCCGGGCGAAAACATCAAAATCAAACTGAAGGGAATAGACGAAGATGCAGTTATGCCTGGCTTCGTTCTCTGTTCTCCTGATAATCTTTGTGTTGTAGGCCGGATATTTGATGCGCAGGTATAAACTATTGTCGTTTGAATTGTCTGCAGACTGGCTTATTTTCAGGTTGTCATTTATGAACACAAGTCAATCATATGTCCTGGTTATAGCGCAGTATTGCACATCCACGCGGCCGTGGAAGAAGTCAGTGTGAAAGTAAGCAGTACAGTGTATTTTATTGCTAACAAAGATATTTTGGCCCTGATTGGCATGGACTGCATTTGTTCATCTTCCTGATTACATTTTGCTTGTGTTCGACTCAGTTTGCTTTGCTATTCAGATTATAAGAAAATCATTTAGAATTTAATTCCTTCGCTTTGGACAGTGGTGAGTACAACACCCTCAGGAGGTTATCTCACTTAAAACTGAGGAACAGTATTTTTTGAGGATATCTTTCCTTTTTTCCTTGCTGATTCAAAGTGGCGTTTCCAGCTGTAAAGAATGATCTTGTCTGATATTTGAAAAGTGGTGCTTTGCAGCTTCTCTGAATTTTCTCCTTCAGAATCTCCGCAGAGATTGTTTCTGACGTACTTCATGTCAGGTCGATATGATCATTTATTCAGTGGCTATTTTGTACAAGAGGGGTGCTCAGGCGTTAGAGCTTTCGACTTGCAGTCGAACGATGATACGTTCGGACTTTCCTTCTCTTCTTGAAGATTCACCTTTCATCTTTCTGAAGTAAATGAATGAAAACCAAAATAAATGCGCAGACACTTCGTTGCGATCAACAAATGACACCCCTGGCTGATACAATTTTGACGCGATCGGCGTCATGCCGTTAGCTCACTGAAAAATGTAGACCGTGAAAGTGCGCTTAAAACAGTGACAACCTGACGGTAGCAGACTTTTTTTCACTCTATCTCTTTAAGCTCAGTTTCAGCTAAAGATATGATTGCGATCGTGAATATCAGACCATGCTATACCTCTATACCTGTTATTACTGCAGTTCGGTAACATTGTCATACGTAAATGCAGGATCAACTACCTTGAAGAAACATAAACACTGGCTGATTTCCATAGATATTTAAATGCTCGTTATCAACAAGGTAGAGATTCAGAAAATTTTGTAAGGGTAGCATTATAGATAGTTGAAATTTCCGAATCGCTTACCGAAGGCAGACCAATTTGTTCTGTCACATCAATGACGAGTGTGTAATGTGGTGCAAAGAGGGCAAATATTAGAAATGGAAGTAGTCTAAGGAGGTCGCATGATATGGAATAGAGCTACGTAAAGCTGTTGTTGGTAATCAAAGACTTGACAAGTGATAGGAGAATTTAAGGGAAACTTCTGTATATGGAAGTTCTTGCTATGGGTATTCGCTGTGAGGAAGCTGCTTTTAAAGTGTGATGGCGATAACCTCTACTGAATCCGGGGCACATTTCCAGAGGCTCTTTGCTCTTGTAGAAGCTTTAGGTTCTCTGTTTGCCAGATTGATCGATCATAAACATTTACACGTTTGGTTTGTACTAAGGCTGCAGTAATGGCTTAATGAAAAGGTACGCATTGACATTCCGTTGCTGTTAATGCATTGTAATTTTATTTAGACTCTGATTTGCTTGATCGACAAGAAAACCGGAGAAAAGTCTACGAAGAGGCCTCGGTTTGTTAAACAAGATCAGCTGTGCATTATGAGACTCGAATCGACGGAAATGTTTTGCTTGGAACCGTTCAAAAGTTTCCCTCAGATGGGCCGCTTCGTGTTGAGGGATGAAGGTAATAGCTGCTGCATGGTGTTGGAAGTTTTTTTGCATTTACTTATAAACTAAATTTGTTTGCATTCAGGAAAAACCATTGCTATTGGAAAAGTGCTGAAGATCGTCGAGTAACACGTAACATTATTGTTGCAGCGGATATTCGATTGAAACAAGTTCACAAACAATGCTGTTGCTATTTTCTAATG